CCACCAGTGTAACTCAAAAATAAGAACAGGGGTCAGAGTAGCCTTCTCACTCCTCTACCACTTTTTGGCCGTTGTTCTCTACCCCTGCAACCCTTTCTTTCCAAAGTACTGTTTTAATAAGGAAGTAATACACCGGCATTAGCTGAGCTGAAGCATCATCCCACCTCATTGTAATCATCCACTTGCTTTCCTGTCATATTCCTGTCATTTGTGGGAGATTTCACCTTTTGGAAACATTTTCTCTCCGCCCCAATTCAGCCACACCTTCAGGAGAGTTGATCTGTTCTGTGCATATTCACCTTCTCTGCATGTATTACAGACATACCTTTCTATGGCCACACTAACATCACCAGAGTGAAACATACAGCCTCCAATACCACTAAAATTCGTAGTCTTCTTTTAACATTTTATTGATCTCAGTCATTCAGTCATCTATTCATGTAACCATTTCTTCACATCAGTGGGTTTCCTAATGCCATGATCACCTATGTCCTTCTCTTCTGTCTATTCATAAATCTCTTTAATCTTCTAGACTTCACTTAGGTGCTCAGATTCCACAGTAATTCTGTTTAATTACTCTCTGACAAGCATCCTTTTATTTTCCCAGTGTATCTACCTGGAAAAAAAGAACACCACAGATCAAGCCTTCTTGTATCACTCTTCAAAGTATTTCCAGGTCCTGTTACCCATTGTGGCCTCATACATCATTCCACAGTGATACCTGACGGGCACTTGAGGTTGACAGCCTCTCAAATTCTTATCTCCACTTCACCTTGTATTATGTTTTTATATTATCTATTATGTCCACCCTTTTGACTTGACCGATTCTGTCCTGTTATGTCTCATTTGGTTTTACTCTCTTCCAAAAAAGCAATAAGAACCGTGGGAGCAATGAAACCCAAAATGTGTAATAGTCATTGTACAAAAGAGAGGAAAAGAAAGTGCTCTAAACTATATAACTGCATGTATATTTAAGTGTATTAGATAGAAAATGATATCACAGAGTTTTATTGGATCATTGAACAGAACTGTTTGCAGTATCATTGTTGGAATGTCCACTCTAAAAGCTTTAATTTTGTGACTTGAACAATTATTTTTAAGATGGCAATATGTAATCCATTAACTAGTGATTTCCTACTGTTCATTTTTTTCTTCTGTAAATCTGTATAACTTGTACCCTTTCACTTTTTTTTTCTTTTCTCCTTAAATAAAAAAATAAAAAAAAAATTCTTATCTCCACTTCATGCTTTCCTTTTCATTCTGAGCGTACACACAGTTCCTGTCCATTTAATATGTCCCATCAGGTCTTGCAAGCAACTCAAACACATTATTGCCAAAACTGAACTAATAATCAACCCCCTGGTGTTCAGTGAATTGAGAATATCAGCAAATGGCCCTCACCCTGCATTTACTCCTTGCATCCCTAGAATATGCCTCCCTTTGCACTTGTGTCTTTGTCTGTTTAAGTCACCTCAATTGTGGCAAAGGCTTCCTTACCGCTCCGCACAGGAACTGTCTGAACTACTCTCCAATTCATGCTCCAAACAGTGCTTCTGATCATGTCTCAGCACTCCTAAGAACCAGTCAATGACGTCCTCTTGCTTAGCATAAACTTAAAAACCCCTAACGTAACTCTCCATTCCAGAAGTTATCTAGGGCTTTCAGATATCCAGGGCAGGATGTTATAGTCTGCTTTTTCTTCTTGCTGTTACTCCTTATTTGATTAGTACCTACTTCCCTTAAAGGCTCAGTCTCTACCCACTTTAGGAAAGCATCCACTGACCCATGAAAGTATCTTTCTTTATAGGACTTATAATAAAGTAAAATAACAAATAAGTACTATAAAATAATAATTATTGTTCTTGTAGCTGGTGATTAAACTCAGAACGTCACCTCTGCTAGGCTAGCACTCTACTGCTGAGGTAAATCCCTAGTTCAAAAATGTGTCTAAAATTGTACCTTCAAGAGTGGTAAAACTGCATGTTTACAGCCACAGATTCTCAGGACACTGAGGTAGGAAGGTGACCTGAATCCAGGAGTTTGAGGGTAACCTGGGCAACATGTGAGACCTGTCTTAAACAGTTAACTAACTAGGTAAATAAATAAAATCATATGTTCAGTATATTCCTCCAGCTAGTCTGAAATATCCTTGAGTTCAGAGACAGTCTCTGTACTGACTGCTACTCTATTATACTAGGGTGAGCAGCCATCTTGGTTTTCCCAGAGCTGAGGGATGCTGGGATGGGAGATTCCAGGCTTAAAACCAGGAAAGTGTTAAACAAAATGGGTTTGTTACCTTGCTTACTATACTTACAACAATCCTCAGCACCTCCTTTTAAAATGAGGTTAGACTGTCCTTAAACAGATTGCTTGCTGTAACTCTTAGTAAAATCTCAATGACTGGTTAACTTTCTGAAGAACAGAAGTGCCTCAGTTTCTCCATCTCAAACATGGAAATCATACGAGTATCTACGAGTTTGTGTGAAAAGTAAAGGCAACAGTGACTATAAGATGAGTTTTTCAACATACTAAAGTGTTCGATATGCTTTTCATTATAATATTATCGTTATGTAATTCTTATAGCCACCATTACCTCCATTAATTAGAAAATAATTTTTTTTTTTGTCTTTTTCCTTTTTATCGGTACCGGGGATCGAACTCACAACTGCCTGCTTGCAAGGCAGGCGCTTATGCCGCTGAGCTAAATCCCCAGCCCCAGAAAATAAATTTTAAACTCTTTGGCAAACATGTGAAAGCTCTTTCTGAATTTCATTCATCATTTCTTATGTATGACCCAGTTCTCTGAATCACTTCTATTTCTGACTTTCTTCTCTTTCATAGTCACGTGTATCTCTGTCTATTCCCTTAATTCTGTTCTATCTCTTTACACGCAGAGACTTTTTTCTCATTTTTACTTTCTTTCTAGTTTCAATCCAACACTCATGTTGGCTTTTCCCTCATGGTACTTATACTGTTGCCTGAAGAACTTAATCTTCTCACCACATTACAATCATGAAACATTATCAACTGTTTTATCCGCTGGACTTTGAATTCCTTGTGGACAAAGGCTATAAGCTTTTAATCTTTCTAATTGAAATACCTATAAAAATACCTGCTACATCGTGGAACTTGATAAATACATATGGAAAAAAGGAAAAAAATTAAAAAGGAGGAAGAAAGGAATAGATGGATGAAGGAAATAGGTAATGAAACATAATGATCTCTGTGATTATTTGATACAAATGTATGAAGCCATAAGCAGACTGCTTGCTGTCCCCATCCTCCCAGGTGGTGATCCCTCTATGGGCAGCGAGATACATGGAAATAGACTAATAGAGAAGAAATTTGAAATAATAGCCTTCCCAGGTGTTTAAAATTAGAAGTAATTTGATGACATGTACTCGGGAATAGATGCTACTGTAGACCGTGTCAGAACAGGTGATCTTTTTTTTTTCTTTTTTTAAAATTTTATTTAAAGAGAAAAAAAGCAAAACAGAAAAAAAGGGTAGAAGTAATACAGAATTTCAAAAAAATAATCAGTAAGAAATCACTAGTTGCTAGATTACATATTGTCATCTTAAAAATAGTTGTTCAAATCACAAAATTAAAGCACACAAAGCAGACATTCAAACAGTGAGACTGCAAACAGTTCTACAGAACAGATGACCTTAAAACAGCAGCCCTTTTCATCCTTCCTGTCCTAATTCCCTCTCAAAGAAATAATAATAATCTGCAATTCTAACATCAAGTTTTTCACTTACTAGCTCTGCAGGCTAAGTCTGACTTACTTCTCAGGGGAAAGATCAGTTTCATTTATCTGTAAAATGAGGACAGTAGATCATGACTCTTCTGTAACTCCAGATAAATTTGTTGGTCATTTGGCAACTGTGTGGTCCCTCTTCTGTTGCTGTACTCTCTTTCTCATGCTTATTCTTAGGTAAATCCTACAGGTTTTTTAACCATTTAGAATATTCTAGATGTGTAGAATGGAATGACAAAAAGGGTACAAATTCTGGGATGTGTAGGGAAATTAAATATTCAAAGAAACAGTATTGATACACTTTAAAAAAAAAGAGAATTCCTATGCTGGATGAAAATCACACAAATTAGGAAAGAGTATTGATTTGAAAGGTACAGAGTGGCGGGAGCATAAGTGTTCTTTTGTAGCTCCCTGTTCTTGCCTCACAGAATGAGGCTATGGAACACGTGTTGCCTGCTTGGTGGCCTGAATGTCACTGGTGTCATTCATCGGACTCTTTAAATTCTTTGAACTATAAGAAAAGAATGGAATTCAAAAAAATATACAGCTCCAGGAGAAGTTATGAAATGAATCCTATCTGAAAGCTTGTGAGGAATATTACAATGAGGAAATTTAAGAGTATAAACAACTAATTGCACATCATAACATTAAAAGTACATACAATATTTTTTAAAGTTAGAGCTACCAGCTGCACAAACCAACAATGCAAAACTGCAACTGGTCATGAATAAGAGAAGAGACAATCACATGCAGGGGAGCATACACATAGCATATAGCTGTACTTTCTACAGTTTACGCTCATGCATTCCAGAACTGTTTCCAATAATTCACCTCTATCATCCTCTGTGAATCTTTATTTGCTTAACATTTATGGGCACTGCCAACTTCCTACATTTCTTAGACCTGAATAAATAATTTAAAAGGAGGAAGATGGGACACATTGTCATTTCTTTATTTCTATATTTATATTTATGCATATTCCTAACAAAAATATTCATAAAAGATGAACATTATTCATAAAATCTATCAAAGCAGGATTAATTAGATGTCCCAAAAAGCCAGTCTGTAAACCTGCCACAGTTCCCTTTAATCTTCTGTAATATTTGATGAAATGAGAAACAGAGCTTGTGGCTCTTATGTTAATAGGGTATTATGTTAATAGCAGGGAATTCACACAGCACCTTGACCCAAGCAACATGGCTATAGGCATGACTTCTCTGAGCTAGAATACATGGTAACCGTCAGTTAACAAGGAACTTGAGAGGGTTCTGATTAGCAAGTAAACATGTAATTCATTGTGCAAGCAGCAGAGAGGATTGGCTAACAATTTGAAGGAAAAGGACAGGAGATGCTGAAAATCTGTTAGCAGGCTGTTACAAGGCAGCAGAAGGAAGAGAGGCAGGAACTGAGGCACTGCAGGGAACATGGAGAGAAAGCTGTGAAAGACTGGTGAGTAGGAGCCCCAGGGTGTGGGGGCAGGTGGAATGTGAGGGCCGGGCCAGAGGAAAGCTTCTGGAGGAATATATAGATCTTCAGCTTGGGAAGCTGTAGGGAAGTTGAGAGCACACTCAGGACAGGGACAGGACTGAAAACTCAAGGCGATGAATTTGAATTTTGTCATCCTAAATTTAAGATGCATGAGGAATTCAGGATGTGTTGCTATTGTAGTATTTATAAACACAATGAATGTTTAGCTGATACTTACAAACTCTGTCTCCATCATTTTACAGCTGATTTGATCAACAGAAAAAAATGATTTATCTCGAGATTTTTATGAATGAAATAACTTACCATGAACAAGAACATTATAACCTTTTCACCGCTGATTTCAATGCAGCCCTAACAAAATCCCTTTCTTCCCTAATTGTTAAATCTGCAGCTATAAAATTATGGGGAAAATTCCAGTTATAATAAATTTTACTGTCTATAACTTTCAAAAGGAAAGTATATTACTCATTTGAAGTTTAAACTATTAGTTTATAATCCTTTAAAAAAGTCCAATATGCAAAACTCCTAATCCAGTAGAATCTAGTGCAATAAAGAGAGACTCCTTTTCTCTATCTAATAAGTTTCTCAGGTAGAGAATTTAATTGTTATGTGGGTTCTAAAAGTGAAGACAGGATAGAATTAGCATCATACCTCAAATAAATAACAATTCCCAAAATAGCCTGTTTGTGTAACTACAGAGAAGAGAATGAACTGAGACTAGAAAAGAACTAATTACTGGGAAGTTGGCTGCTTAAAGTTGGGAAGAATGACTTCTGGTTCTTACTCAGTTTATCCACTGATGTTTGTTTATTTGATGTTTTGCTTAGGAAAAAATAGTTTTGGTGAGAATTTTGTTCATTTAATAATAGAACCAGAAGGCTTGCCACAGTTGTTTCTTTAAATACCTTTCACTGATTTCCAGTCTCTTTACACTGAGAAAGAAACTTAAATCTATTATAAATAACTAATTTTAATTAGAGATTAAATACATGCAAGGTTCACTGAGTTTTTTAATGCATATCTAAGAAATATTTGTTTTATAAATTTAATCATGGTATAATACTCTGAAATGAAATAATTAATAATGTGCTCAGTTTTTCTAAAAACTTCAACCTCCAATAGTCAGTTTCTCTTGCAACTGTTCTCAATAATTTGAAAAAATGCAAGTAAAATGATTAAATTGATATTACTAGTATTTTAATCATTTTTTAATTATCAAAATGCACATTTCTTCAAATTCCAAAAGCAGCAGCTTTTGTTTGAACTAACAATTTTCCAGGATTTAACTTCATTTTACATAGTTTCCATCATAACTTTGTAGCAATTCAACAGCTAGTATAATTGCCAATATATTTACATTTGATTAATGCAATTAATTTCATCAGCTACTAGTCTGTTTCTTGAACATAGTGACATTACCCAGGTAATGAACTGAAAACAAGCATGTAGCATTAACAATCAGCTCTGCCTTGAAGTGTCTTTGGGGAGAAGTGAGTTAAACAAAGTTAGGGCACGACTTCTCAGAACTAATACGCACTTTGAATCTACAAAGACAAGTTAAACATCCAGGTTAGTTTATCCTTCTACCTCTTATTGTCTCAGGTCATCTCTTGTGCCTAATAAACCAGAGAATGCAGTGCTGGTCTCCAGTCACTAACAACTATCCCTGAATTAAGGAGATCAACAAAGAGTTGCCACATTGGAACCATTCATTAGCTCCCTAAATGGTTTGTATTGAATTGGCTTTGGCATGATATATAATCAAAAGCACAGACTTTTAAAAAGATCTTTATGTACTATTGTTTTACTTTGTAAAGATGTTTTTGAGAATGTTGTACATCAATGGATTTTCTTTCAAAGAATTCATGGGAAAATTTTCTTTCAGTTCTTAGCTCCAAGAAATGTTATGCTTTGCCTATTCCTGCTGGTTTCTATCTTTTAAAAATACTGAATCAGAACTTCCTCTAGCATTGAATATAAAGTTGACTAGAGCCAAGTTTGTGGCTTGCCTTTTGTAAACTCGGAGCATGGATTTCATATCAGTTGCTTGTGAAATAACTTCATTCCTGACTGCTCTCTCTGGCTTCCTAAAATCCCCTGACTTCGCGGAAACAGTACTGTACCTTGATTACATGTTAGTCGTGTGGTATTGCAGTTCTCTTAAAGTGTTTTACATTCTTCCTGATTGGAGAGGAAAGATAAAGGAGGAGAAAATGGAAGAGAAGTAGGAGAAAAAAAAAAAAAGAAAAGAAAGGAAAAGATCTTTTTTATAGATTCAGTAAGTCCTGCCAGTTTCTTTTTCCTGTGCATAACTAAACTCTTAAAGTAAAAATAGATGAGAATCTTTTCAAACACGCATTTTCAAGAAAGTCATAACTAAATGGAACTTTTTCCCATGTGTATTTAAGAGAGAGGTGAGAAGCCAAGCAGAACAAGAAATAAGAACAGGCTGGGAGTTTAGTTCAGCAGCACAGGCGCCTGCCTGGCAAGCGCAAGGTTGTGAGTTCAAACCCCAGTACCAAAAATAAATAAATAAATAAGAACAAGGCAAATACAGAAAAGGATAAAAAGACAATGCTACATCTCTGAATTAGAGTTCTTTACAATTAGGAAAGGCACAAAAACAAGGACAGGATACACTGTAGCAGCAGTATTTTATGAGAATCATACCTAGCTAATACATACTTTGGATTTACTCTCACATGCACTGTGTCAGTTCGTAATTCTGCTGCTGCATGACTGCTCAGCACCTTGATCATCTACATGGAAATGAGTAACAGAAACAATTCTTTAAACTGTAATCAACTTGAATTTCACTGGACTTTGCTTTTATATTGAGCTGAGAAAGATACATATGAATATGATAAAATGTAATCAAATAGAAAACTAGAAGCTAATCGACAGATGTAATGGAGGATACATTGTGTCAACTTGAGAAATTTAGAAGTTAAACTAAGAGACTTGGCAGGGTGTCAGGATCCATACTTTATGAATATCTTCTTCTTGTGTGAGAGGAGGACAGAGATTTTGTGAGTGCTACATCCGCCCCTGGGGGGTGGAGGTGGGGGTGGCCGGCATACAATATAAGGCAGGAAGAGAGGCTTACTCTTCCCCATTTTTGCTCTGGCTGTCTTTGCTGGCTGCTGCACTGAAGTGTTGTCCCTGAGCCATGTCACCGTGCCTTGGAGCCAGCTGATTATGGACTGCAACCTCCATAAATAGTGTGTTAAATAACTTTTCCTGCCTTCATTTTGGTTGTCGAATATTTTGTCCCAGTAATGAGAGAAAAGTAACCAAGACAACAGATATAAATCTCAATACAAGAATGGATCTAAAAGCTGATCCCACTCAAACCCATAAACTTCTTATGAAGAAACTTAAATCTCCAGGAAAATAACAGTATTTACTCAGTTAATGCACTGCAGATGAAAGCAATGTAAAATAAACAGGAAAGCAAAAAACCATACGCAACCATCCCCAATGCCACCTCTACCCCCACACAAAATATAGAGCATAACGAATAGGATAAGATGAAAATTTCCCAAGGAATCCCTTAATCGTACCCTAAGGAAATAATACACTTTCTCAAGCCTCCTCTTTACACTGAGTTCCCTGAGACCTGGCCACCAGCAGTAGCAGTGCAGATGACCCTCCTTCCTCTTGAGGATGTTGCATGTCACTCTCCTGCCTTGACTTGGCCCACGCTGCCCACTTATGCCCTTGCCCTTTCTTGTTTGTATCTTTGTTGCCTAACCCATTCTTTAGGATTCCTCCCCAGCCCTTCTTAATGCTAAAATGATGCCTTCCCTGCTTCCATAATCAGCCCAAGGGTCTCACCCTGTCTGTGGTACCTTAGCACCGTCTTACATAAGTGGCTTATGGGCTTCAGTTCAGATTTCCTGATTTTCAATTCTACCTTCATCCCTAATTGTTCTTTATACTTTGGACAAATCGCTTAATCTCTCAGTGCCTCAATTTCTGCAATTTCAGTGAAACAGAAATAAAAACATATGTAGCTCCAAATGAATGTTGTTTGACATTTCAACATATATAATGTTGATTATATATGTCAAATTCTTAGAAATCTGCCTGACATGGAATAAACAATTCACACATGTTGGCTACTAGTACTATGATTACCTCCATCATTGATCTTTCAGAAATATTTGTGAGTACCTTCAAGCTAGAGAGAATAATTTGTTCATCTCTGTTCTCCAGTCTTGTCATGATACCTGGCACGCATCAGAAGCAAGGAAGTGTTTTGTAAATAGGTGAGTGGGCAAATAAGGACTGTACGTTTTGTATTATGTGTGTGTGTGTGTGTGTGTGTGTGTGTGTGTGTGTGTGTGTGTTTGAGAAAGGGAGAGATTTACAGGGGTACTTTGAGGGTGAGATAGATGAGAAATGATGATGAAGCAGTGGGATAGGTCACTTCTCTCTGAGCCGGGCAGATTTGGCTTTATACTATCATGTGGATGGTCTGTATGAGACATTCTCTCTTACACACTTAAATCTATGACTGTTACCAGAATCCAATTGTCAAGTCTAATACAATGAGAAGGAGATTTTGAACAGTTTTACCCATTACATTTTACCCAGAAACTCTTTTTTCATATGATTAAAATTATGATATAATAATATTAACAGTATAAAATATTAACTATTTAAATACAACTTTAATATTAATGTTTATATTACTTTAACTAAATTAATATATATACTGAATATTAAAGAGGAGCTCAGAAAAGATTTGTTTTAAGTGAAAATCTTTCCAAAATCTAGTGAGAACCTGTTGACCTCCTCTCTAATGTTCCTATTTATGTTCTGATGGGTTTGAGAGGATGTCAATTAGCAAGGATGAAGGAAAGAACTTTGAGCTGCAGATATCATTGTCTATCTTTGTGACCGCACAGACAATGAGAGTAATCTGTTCTGTGTGTTTCATTTTCATTTCAAAGGAAAAAATAGTTTTCAGACTCTACTGGAACCCCAACACTGTCTTTTATCCTTCTCTGGCTATTATTTGTTTTGTACACACACAGCCTGTGGCTTTCGTAACCAGATATGGAAAGCTTAGTGATCCTGAAGATTAACAATAGTGTAAAGACTGGAGTCTGCCAACACTGACAAAGAACAAAAGACAAAGTATCTATTGTGATTTTTGTTTGGGGGAACACAATACAAAATTGTAATTTACTAGGATCTATTTCTTACTGAATTGAGGATTTAAAATTTAAAAAAATGTCCCTATTTGATTCCTCCATTTTATCAGATAAGGAAAAACTTTACCTCTAGAATGGATGCTGGTGATGCCTCACAAGTAACAGGTGTCTGATCTCCGGTTTGGTAAACCCTAATCCCCTTGAGCATTTTTCTTTCCCTACCACCCTGCTCGTCAGCTTCTGTTGGTAGTGAAATGCTCCCTTGAAGGTAACTTCCTCCTCCCTTTGTTTCTGCTTTGGCAGAGATGAGAAACCAGATCTATCCATGCCCAGACAACCTGAGGATTCAGTTGGAGGCTTAAAGAAATTTGGTCTAAAAATAAAATTAATTAAATAATTAAATAAATAAATAAATAAAAAAGAGATTTGGTCAACTCAGCCTTAAACCTATTAGAGTTTTTGCGCTTCCAAAGAGATGTTTAAAGCCATGTCCAGAAGACTTCCACTAGAGCCTGACTCGATTGAAAGGATTTTGGCCCAGTTGGGTAAAGCTGGGAGGTGGAACCAGGGGGCTCTAGCTTGAGGTCATCTTCCTCGCCTCTAGGAATTTACCTGTGGCACGAAATGAATACCAGTGGGCTACCTGTGCATCACAATGCCCCTCAGGCACCACCCCAAACCTAAGCTACATGTATGCCCCCACTCCAGGTGTCCAACGGAGAGAATGCCAGATCCTCGAGAGAATGCCAGACCTGGGAGGGTCAGGGGGTGTCTCCCCACATTCTTAAAATAAAGCTCTTTTATATTTCATACTTCTTATCTTTTCAGCCATGCCAAAATTCTATCATATAGTTCCCTGACTGGGAATCCAATTCTATCATCGATGAGCAAAAACTGGCTTCATAGAAGTTCAGAAATGGCTCGTTGGATTCTACAGACCCTTGCCAGGTGCCTCTGCCAAACGGCTCCACAGTTTTCCTCTGACTTCTTTCTGTGTCTCACGTCATCAGCATCTTCCCCTCCTTTCTCACAACTACTATTAGGACATTCGTGATCCTTCCCAGCAATTACTTTAAAATGCCCACGCACTGGCCATGTGAATGTGACCCAGAAATTACTACTAAATAGTTTGTTTCTCTTCAAAATAGGGTTAGATTTTGTAACAGCCTGCAAGGAGTCATTGCAGCTTAAAATATATAACATGATCCCAAAAAAGTGTTAAATCTGGCACTTAAATATTCAATACCATAATAGAAATACAAAATTCCTAATATATTTGATTTATTAAAAAGAATGCAAGCTTTGGCTTTCTTTAGATTGCAAAAAAAAAAGACAGTGATTTTTTTTTTTCTGTGTGTTGCTGACACAAACATCTTTTTTTTTTTTTTTTCCCCAAACAAAAGTTGGATCACGCTGGAGTAGATCAGGAGCACAAGAAAAGCACATGACCCTGTAATTGTGTGGCAAGAAAGCATTTGCATAATGATTTCTGGTCATTTAAAAAAAAACTGTAATCATAGTGTTTAAATGTCTACAAAGCAATTATGCAGAACAATTATACGTTCTTTTGCTGAAAAGGATGTTTGTCTTGAGAAAATATTACAGAAGATTTTCATAATATTATTTCTATTAATGAGAATCATGTTAAGAAAGTGTCAAAAGCTTTCATGATGTCAGAATTCTGACTCAGGCTTTAAGTTTAAAGATTTAAGAGGATCAGAAATGAGTCCCCCGTTGTGTGCCACTGGAGACCACGCAGTGAGTTCTCACTGGATGACCCAGATTAGCTTAAAGATTCTTTTACTAACAATGGTACACTCTTGGGAGAAGTGCAGAGTGGTCCGCACATTGAAATTTTAAATTCTCAATTTATCTAATTGTTAATTTTCTGACGGAGTATTACTAGTGGTTTAGCCACTCTGAAATTTATTTCCAAACTCAATGAACTCTATAAGCATTTCTGAGTTATGTCGGATAAATTAGCCAGGAATGTTTTAGGATTTCTTGAGACATTTATTGGTCCTGTTTCTTACTCTGAATATATGAGTTAGACCAATTAGAATAAAGATAAGATTTGTTTATTTGTACTTCTAGTCAAAATTGAAGATTCAGAGTCAGTTTTCTGAGGAAAAAAGTTTGCCAGGTTTTAACAAATTCAAGCTTGGTTTTTTTCCCCTGTATGTGTTAGGGTGAAATTTGTCTTTTCCTAAGTTATCACTGAAACTGTATATTGATAAGCACCTCATATTTAAAGGTGAGCCAAGTCCTTCGCTGTTTAGACCACTGACTTTAATTTTTAAATATTTATTTATTTATTTAGTCTTTTTTTTTTTTTTTTTTTTTTTTTTGTACTGAGGATCGAACTCAGAACCAGGCAGGCATTTATGCAGGTAAGCTAAATCCCTAAATCCCCAGCATTATTTTGTCTTTTTGAGACAGGGTCTCACTATGCAGTTCAGGCTGGGCTTGAGCTCACTTTGTAGCCCAGGCTGGTCTCGAAATCGCAGTGATCCTCCTACCTTAGCTTCCGAAGTTCTGGGATTACAGGCCTACACCACCATGGCTAGTTTAGATCATTGACATTAATTAGTGCCTGTGAGTCAGCAGCTCTCCCTTCAGTTAATATGAATACTAATAACTATGTGCTCCCTGCTTTCCTTCCTTCATGAGGGTGGGAACATTTTTTAAAACCTTGAAATCAGTAGGAGAGTTACAGTCCAGAGCTCTGGGTCAGCAGAACTAACCAGTGAACAGCCCAAAGAACAGAGCCAACAAAATGGCTCATTCATTTTTGTTTTAAATTATAGTCACAGGTGTGCCTGTTGAGAACATTTATACAGAATAGAGTTAAATAGCTCCTCCCAACAAAATTATTTATGAGAATAAGTAGAGGTCAAAAGCAGTATGTGTTAGGAAGAAGGTTAGCATCTGAGAAAAGTGAGCCCAGCATTGTACCTGAAGTTATAAATGTCTAGTGTTTCCAGGAATAACAGTTGTCCCTCTGAGAAGAGTTCATCAGCTTTTACCTGCTGAAGTGACCAGAATTAGCTTTGTGTTTTGTTACATTAAGGATTTGGGTACTATGTGTTGTTCCAAATGCTACAGTCTGTATATGAAGTATACATTAAGTATATTTCAATCTATGATTTATGTGAAAAGTACCAAGCACTTTTCTTTTACTTCCAGATTTAAATATATATCAGAATAATTAAAAATATCCTTTAGCTGTATCTAGTATATTCAAAAGTCTTTACATGACTCATGATAGTCTCTGAAAATGAAGGAAACTGTGAGAGGATATACTAATTACACATTTCAAGAATAAATATGCTGATAAAGATAATCTACAAGAACTTTAGTGAAACATATTCCTTAACATCAGGATATTGAAGAACAGAACTCCTACTCGGGCAGCGTGACATGCTTTCTAGAATTCAAGGAGTTAAGTACTGAAGAGTCCAAAGAGAGTCAGATACAGGTCTACTTTAAATGAGAGGAATGACTCAAGAGAACAGAGAGCTAAGATATTGTTTTGTGCTTAACACCTTGACCAGAATAAAGGGCTCTTTGATATGGTTATAAGAGGAGCTTGGCAGATTTCAAAAGGTCTGTAGAAAGTAGGGGGCTGGGGAGAATCACTATATCAAAGTAAATGACAGTGCAGAATCTAAAACTGCTTACATTTTTCTAGCTCTTTACAAACTAGGTGCTTGACTTTGTCAAATTACTCACTTTCCTGCCTGCAAAATATTTTTTTAATATTTACCTTGCAGGAACTCTCCTGCACTGTTGGTGGGAGTGTAGACTGGTACAGCCTTTGTGGAGGTCTGTCTGGAGGTTTCTCAAAAAGTTGGGATTGGAAATCCCATTTATTCCAGCTATTCCACTTCTAGGCATATTCCCAGAAGAACTGAAAGCATCATACCACAGTGATTTATGTGCACCTATGTTTATAGCAGCACAATTTGTAATCGCCAGATCTTGGAAACAACCCAAGTGTCCATCAACTGAGGAATGGATAAAAAAGTTGTGGTATTTCTATACAATGGAATATTATTCAGCTATAAAGAAGGATCACATTGAGATATTTATCAATAAATGGGCGCAGC